AAAAAAACCTTTCTTAAAAAATGAGGGATCAAGAGGGATACTTCTAACTCGAAAGCTGTCACACTGCCCATACTGTCAGAAGATTATTAGTATTATTGTGGGGAACTAAAATATTAAACTCAAGAGCTGGGCGTCCCAGCAGTGCAGGGGTGCAGGGGTCAGCTTTACTGCCTCGCAGTGCTGGGGCCCTGGGTTCAATTCCTGGGGTGCTGTCTGTGTGGAGTTTGCATGTCCCTGCAGGTGTACCCTGCCTTGCGCCCGTTGCTTTCTGGGATAGTCTCTGGCATACCCCCCCGCCCCGCGATCCTGAATTGGATAAAGAGGTTTAGGAAACGGGGGGATGGTACAGGGGTGAGGTGTTAGCTCATTCCTCTGCCTTTCGGAGGCCTGCAGGGTTTTGCAGCGTGGCGTTGGGTCACACAGAGTGACCGCAGTTGTCCCGTGGGCAGGAGAGAGGAGGAGACGGCTCAGTCCGCCGAGCAGGAGGCAAGGGAAGGGTTTGGTTGGCTGTTCTGTGCAGAAATCGGGTTTGTGGTGAATTCGAAACACTCGGAAGATCAAGGAGGACATTTTGGTTTGGGTAGACGCCCTTAAGATCTGGGCTGCCTCTTTCGGAGTGTTAGTACTCCAAAACGATTATGCGCTTTGGGGTTTCTGTGGCGTAAGTAGAATATACTGTAGTTCTCTCTCGGCTGGGTCAGGAAGTTACCTAGGTTGTCCTTTTCAGCCTGTTCCTGTTTTCATACTTATCCCCATGTTACCTGTTCTGTGTGGCCTAGCAGGGTCGCAGCTGCCCTTTAAGATGGCTCCTGTCGACTATAGATTGCTGCAGGCTTGTTTTTTTTTTGTATTCTCCCTGGATCTCCAACGCTTGGCTCTGGGCCTCCGCGATTGAAGCTCAACAATCCCCATTGTATGAAGGCTGAATGAAAAATCTCTCCCTTCGTCCGCCTGCTGACCGCCTGCCTGGAAAAACGGCGCCGCTTTCGCCTTCTCACCTCGGTTTCCCGTTTATCTCTGTAATCTCGTGCTCTGAGAGGGGCTGTCGCAAAGAGGTTTCGGTACAAGCTTGTGAGAATGGGTGGGGGAACGACAAATGGAAGAACTGGAATTGCTGTTTTGCTTCGCTTGCGTTCGTGGTCTGTCCTTAGTCAGGGTGCTGGACTCAACGCTCACCCTGCGTTCTTTGTGGGTCCTAATGCCCCAGTATAGTGACGGGGACACTATACTGTAAACAGGC